GATTGGCAATAGATGTTAGCTCAGAGCCGGTCTTCCTCAGCAAAAAGAGGAGGATTAGCATGGATGTTAGCTCAGGGCTGATCTTCCTCAAAAAAATAAAATCAAATCAATCAATCAATCAATCAATCAATCAATCTACACCCCTGAATTACTCTTGGATTTAAAAAATAACAATGGAAATAAAAACTATTTAGAAATGAACAAAAATTAAAATATTATGTATTAAAAGTTGTGGAATTCAGCTGAAAGAGTATTTGGTGATAAATTTATAAACAAATAATAGAAAAACAAATGATTTCAAAAAAAGTGAATTTAGCTTGTCACTCAAGAAACAAGGCAGAAAACATCAGCATAAACTTAAAGAAAATAATAGGAAAAATAACAAAGATAAGAATACAAATTATTGAAATGCAAATAAGGAGGAATTGTGATGATGAAGCAATAGAAGCAGGCAATAAAGGTCATACTGAAACCAGTGGGAAGAAAATGAAAATTCTGTAAAGTCCAATCCTGGGACCAACATAGGCTAGGCAGATAGCATGACTAAAATTCTTTTTAAAGATCCTAAAGGGAAACTCAAAATTCTGATCAAAGGCAAAGACCTGGGAAAGGAGAAAGAGAAAGAAAAGCAAGAGAGACTGGGAAAAAATAAAACAAAACTTGATATGAAACAAGAAGCATGAGTGGGAAATAACATACAGGGTAAAACCAGATATTGTCAAAGAAAAGAAACAGAGATAAATCTTTAGAGAACTACAATAAGGGATGTTGAACAGTTATTTAATGAGACTCAAAAGCATCAAAACAACGTTGAAGAAAGGTTTTAAAAACAAACTAGAGGCTCTACTAGAAAATATGCTGAGTTGATATCAATTGTTTCCGAAAAATATTTCATCAGTGTTTTCAGAAGAGCGGATAAAAGTGAAAATGAAAAAAGTTCAACAGGGAAAAAGCCAAAAAGGGCAAACACACTGAAGTGAAACCAGAAGTGGGGAATCTCACTTAAGAATGTTGATTCAAAATACTATTTAAGATATTCAAATCCTAGCTACTATATATTTTAAAAATAATATTTATAGCTTATGACTATGTAGAGCTTATTTCAGAGATGCAAGGATATTTCAATATAAGAAAATCCAATAATGTAAAACTCTATATTAAGAGATTAAAGATAAAAAGCCATATGTTCATTTCAATACAGGCATAGTAAAGCTCTTGAGAACATTCAACACATGATTAAAATCTTTTAAAAAATCTTTAAGAAATCTTCTCAGCAAACTGGGAATTGAAGGAAACTTCCTTAACCTGATAAAGAGTATCTATCAAAAACTTATGCAACTACCCAAAACAATCTATAGGTTCAATGCAATCTCTATTAAAATCCCAATGACTTTGTTTTTGCAGAAGTATAAAAAAAATCCATCCTAAAATTTATATGGAGTATAAAGGGACCTCAAATAGCCAAAACAATATTGAAAAAGAAGGAAAACAAACCACCCTCACTTTGCTTAATGTTCCATCCTGTCTCTCCCCTCCAAGCACTGGTACTGAGGTTCTAGAACACTACTCCAGCCTCTTTCCTGATCCAATCCTATCCTTTAGGATTCAGCCTCAATCATGTCCTGGAAAAGTCTTGCCTGACCCCCAGATCTAGGCCGAAGGCCTTTCTTATGCATTCCCCCATTGCCCAATGTTTCCCACCATTGTAGCAGTTTTCATATTCTATTAAAATATTCTGTTTACTTTCCTGTGTCCTCCCCTATCCTGTAAGCTTCCTGAGATCCTGTGATCAACAGGTCCACCATTTCCATCTCCAGCATCGGTCAGGCAAAGTGTCAGGCACCTCATAGTCACTAACTTAAGTGTCTGATAATTCAATAATTTAAATACAGGTTTCAAAGTTAAGTTCTAAGCCATCAAGCACAGAAATTAAAACTATATAACCTTAGAAGATAATGTATCTCATGTTTTAAAATTTATATTATTGTTTCTGAATATAAAATAGATTGAAGATGTTGGGAGCAAGGGCAGTGGCAGCCTTGATTGAGTGTTCAATAATACTTTCCTAGCAACTACTGTCAAAGTCACATTCGTTTACACTATTCTTATTAATTCGGAGAAAAAGACTTTTTACTTGAAAGAGCTACTTCTAAGGTATCTTAGAACTGTAAGATTCTTCAAAGCAACTTGAAAGGCACAAGGCTAACAAACAAAAATAACTTGGTTTAGGCTGAGAGGGTGCAGAAATTGCTTAGGCCTCTGAGCGTCGCTGTTGACCACCTAAGAAGTAAAAGCCTATGAGAGACCCAGTCCAACATTACGGCTCCCACAACACAAACGACTGGGAATTTGGCCCGCAAGCTTCGGGGGCGGCAGCAAAGAAATTCAGTCCACCAGCCCACTAATTCTCTCCACAGTGACCTGGGTCCTGTGAATGCTGATCACCTGAGATCCTGAGGAATAAAGATTGGGAATCCCGCACTGGATGCTGAAAGTTGCCTCGGGAGAAAAGACTGCAGCAGAAGAAATGGCAGCTCTGCAAAACTGGCCACACGGCAGAAAGCTGGTCCTGCTGTGCATTCTTTTGGCGGCCCTGTGGGAGGCCGGAGCTGGACAAATGCGCTATTCTGTGCCAGAAGAGATCGAAAAAGGCTCCTTCGTGGGCAACATCGCCAAGGACTTGGGTTTGGAGGCCCTGACATTGGCAGAGCGCGGAGTCCGCATCGTCTCCAGAGGTAGGACGCAGCTCTTTGCTCTGAACTCTCGAAGTGGCAGCTTGGTCGCCGCGGGCAGAGTAGACCGGGAGGAGCTCTGCGCTCAGAGCTCGCCGTGTCTGGTGAATTTTAACCTACTCCTGGAAGATACATTGAATATTTATTCAGTAGAGGTAGAAATAACAGATATTAACGATAATGCCCCTCGCTTTGGAGTAGAGGAACTGGAGCTAAAAATCAGTGAAGCTACTACGCCAGGATTCCGGATTCCTCTTAAGAGTGCGCATGATGTGGACGTAGGAGAGAACACCCTTCAGAAGTACGAACTCAACCCAAATAACCGCTTCTCCCTGGACGTGCGAAGCGGAGCGGATGGTAACAAGTACCCAGAGATGGTGCTGGAGCGCGCCCTGGACCGCGAGGAAGAGGCGGTTCACCACCTCGTTCTCCTGGCTTTTGATGGGGGCGCCCCAATGCGATCTGGCACCTCCCGCATCCGCGTAGTGGTCCAGGATGTAAACGACAACGCGCCTGCTTTTACACAGTCCGAGTACCGTGTAAGTGTTCTGGAGAATATGCCCGTAGGCACGCGGATACTCACAGTGACTGCCACTGATGCAGATGAGGGATACAACGCTCAAGTGGCATATTTTCAAGAGAAAAACCCTGGAGGATCTTCAGAGATATTTGAGCTTAAGGCGACATCAGGAGACATAACAATCACAAAAAGTCTAGATTATGAGGATGCCAAATTCCATGAAATTGATATTGAAGCTCAGGATGGTCCGGGCCTTCTGACCAGAACGAAGGTTATTGTCACAGTTCTGGACGTGAATGACAATGCCCCAGAATTTTACATGACATCTGCTACTAGCTCTGTTCCTGAAGATTCTCCTCCAGGAACCATAATTGCACTTTTCAATGTACATGACACAGACTCTGGGCAGAATGCATTTATCACATGTTCTCTCTCGGGAAACCTTCCTTTCAAGTTAGAAAGGTGAGTGGACAATTACTACCGACTGGTTACAGCCAGAGCCCTTGACAGGGAACAGTTTTCCTCTTACAACGTCACTGTGACTGCTAAAGATGGAGGGAACCCCTCTCTGTCCACGAATGCTTACGTTTTGCTGCAGGTGGCAGACATCAGCGACAACCCACCCACCTTCCCCCACATGTCCTACTCTGCCTACATTCCTGAAAACAACCCCAGAGGCACCCCCATCATTTCCATGAAGGCCCATGACCCTGACAGCGACGACAATGCCCATGTAACTTATTTCTTGACCGAGGGCACCCTTCAGGGGGCGCCTCTATCCTCCTACATCTCCATTAACTCGGACACGGGTGTCCTCTACGCACTGTGCTCCTTTGACTATGAGCAATTCCATGACCTGCAGCTATGGGTTCTGGCGAGGGACAGCGGGAAGCCACCGCTCAGCAGCAACGTGTCGCTGAGCCTGTTTGTACTGGACCAGAATGACAATGCGCCGGAGATCCTGTACCCCACCCTCCCCACCGATGGTTCCACGGGCGTGGAGCTGGCGCCCCGCTCCGCGGATCCCGGCTACCTGGTGACCAAGGTGGTGGCAGTGGACAGAGACTCAGGCCAGAACGCCTGGCTGTCCTACCGCCTACTCAAGGCCAGCGAGCCAGGGCTCTTCGAAGTGGGGCTGCACACGGGCGAGGTGCGCACAGCGCGGGCCCTGCTGGACAGAGACACGCTCAAACAGAACCTGGTGGTGGCGGTCCAGGACCACGGCCAGCCCCCTCTCTCAACCACCCTCACGCTCACCGTGGCGGTGGCTGACAGGATCCCAGACGTCTTGGCCGACCTGGGCAGCCTCGATCCCTCCGCCGACCCGGATGATTCAGACCTCACTCTGTACTTGGTGGTGGCGGTGGCCGCGGTCTCCTGCGTCTTCCTCGC